TAAGTGGAATCTATTCAACAAAATAAACGAACAAACAAAATAAATCACAGGCAAGGAAACATGGAGCAGACTGAAAGTGACCAGAGGGGATGGGGAAGGAGGACAATGGTGGAAAGAAGGGGAAGGGACTAGACAAAGGACATGTATGAATGACCCACAGACATGGACAACAGAGTGAGAATTGACTGTGGGAGCAGGGGAGTAGGATGGGTGGAGGAGCGCAAAGGGGGAAAAATTGAGACAACTGTAATAGAATAAATATGATTTAAAAAATAAAATGCTTCAGAAACAAAACGAAAAACAAAAGAGAAAGTAATTTTAAACACTGCTATTAGATATTAGTTTTGTCTTATAGGAGGAAATATACACTGTCAGGATTACTAATCCTAGATTTCTTGAACTACCACATACAACAGCCACAGTTCTTCTCCTCCCACTCCCACCCAATAGGTCCTGGAGGGAGATAAATGCTTGGAGAATAGATTCAGACAACTACTTTACTAGCTTGGGCTTCCACCTCAGTCTTTCACCTCAGCCTTCAGTGTAGTCACCAGATAGCTTAGACTAAAAACTCTTTTTGTCCAAAGTAGGCAGGCCTCAGTAGCTTCTTTCTCTGAGGCTACATTCTGACCTTAGTTTTGGAGCTCTAACCACTTCTTTAGATAAAAAAGATAGGTAATAAAAACAAACTGAAAAGAAACCACACCTAAGGAGGCAAGAAAACTTTAAGGGTGACAAATTGGTCCCAGTTTGTCTGGGACTTTCCTTGTTTTAGCACTAAAAGTCCCCAGGAAAACCATCAGTTCCAAACAAACCAGGACCTCACAAATGAGGGCTCCAGTGATCTTTCGGACCCTTTTCCACTGAGCCTCTGACAGGTTCTCCTCTTGACCTTCAAGGTGGGGGTGTGTCTTCTCAGAAGCTAAAGTGGAGTTACCAGACTTACTATATTTCACAGAAGAAAAAAGACAGAATACAAAGAGGTACCCCAAAAGAGCATTCAAAAGATTCAACAGACAGTTCCTCACACCACTGTGATCCAATACTTTTCTTGATCTGAGCTGTGATTTATATTTTACTTTGAAGATTTTGGCCATATCTAGATATCTGTCACTCATACTATTGTTTACTTAAGATGTTTCCTTAAATGAACTCATGTTTTCTTTGTTATGCTTATTTTTTAATATATGTATTTTAAAATGTTATTTCCTAAATTTGTTTTAACAGAAAATTTCACATCATTCTCATAAATGGAAAATTGGTATCACATGTCACAAACAGAAGGTACATATTAGGTATATATTAAAAATATTACCTAGAGGTAGAAAGATTCCTAATGCAAGTTTTCCTCAGGAATGTGTGGAAGACAAGAAGCTTGATGTTCCTCTTAGGAGGCAGAATGCATGTGGCTTTCTTCCAGTTCCTTCTAGAATCTATAGGTTAACACTCCTTTCTGGTATTACTTCAGCTCCCTCTGTTGGTTAAGAGAGTTAGGTTATTCAGCAAAACTTTATTGAGCAATTATTATGTTTCAGATACAGTGCTAGCGGCTAAGGATACAGATGAGAAAATGGGAACAATTTTGTATGTGATGAACAAGGGTTGGGAAAGAAAAGGAGGAAGTTAAAAATTTTGGGTAAAGATACCTTTTGTCCAAAGTAGGCCAGTGTCAGTGACCCAAACTAGACGCTTTTCTCTGAGGATTACATTCTGACCATACCTTTGGAGCTCTACCCCTGCTTTAGTCAAAAGAGATAGTAACCCCTCATTTGCTTAAACCTCTGCAACCTGAATCTTACTCCTTACACTTCACCAGAAGTATACATATGAAAGTCTCTAGGGGACCTCCTAATTATTGGATCCAATAGGAAGTTTTTAGTCCTCATCTTCTGACCCTGGAGACATCATCAACTCCCTCCTTAGCTTCATTGATACAGATAGCTGCTTTCTGTTTTTCACCTTTCTGGCCTCCCCATCTTCCCTTTCACCTTCTTTTAAATGTTGATGCTTGTCAGGATTTTGTCCTTAACCCATTTCTCTATACAATTTCCCTACTCATGCCTATACAGACAGGCATAAAGACTTCCACCTACTTAAGTTAAAACTCTCAAATCCTAAAACACTAAATGTGGCTTGTTTCTCTAGCCTCATTTTTGTTTTAACTTGAGGTAACATTGGTTAATACAGCCTCATTTCTTGTAATTGTCAAATTACTGTATTTCTGTGTTAGCACCTTGGTCTGTTCTTGCCTGTTTCCTCTTTCCCTCTACCTAACTCCCATCTCCACCCCATTTATTCTTCAATATTCAGCTTGTACTACCTCTTCTGGGGAGCATTCCAGAAGCACAGCAGTCTATGTTGGGTGTTCTCCCTTTGTGCTTCACCCAGCAGACTCAAATCAGTGCCTCTAATGGTCGGCATTACTTTTGTTTATTCCACTAGGCTGGTTTTCTTGAAGGCATGAACTTAACCTGCACTCAGTTACCAGCACAGGGCTCAATAAATATTTGTTAAATTGATAAATATAAGAAATTCCTTGTAAAGTACAGCATAGGTAATGTGGTTAATAATATTGTAATGACTATGTATGGCACCAGCTGGGTACTGGAAATATTGGGAGGGCATTTTGTGAAGTATATGACTGTCTGACCACAGTGCTGTACACCTGAAACTAATGCAAAATAATATTGAATGTAAAAAATCATCCAAAAAAAAAAAGGAAAAGAAATCCCTGAGCTGTGAACAGTTGAACACAAAGGAAGAGGAGCTCAGGGGTGGTATAAGCCAACGATATATAAAACTTGAGTATTTAGATCCTCTTCTTTTCCCATTTGTAGAGGCAGCCCAGGGCTGGTGGGGCTGGAGGGGCATGAGGGTCAAAGTCAGAAAGATGGGTGGGCTGACATGGCAGCCAGGGTGGTAGAGCTGGAAATTAGTTACATACAGGGGAAATGAGCAATTATTTGGAGGATAAAGGAAACTAGGTTTGCCATTATCTAAGCATGGAATTATAAATATGGATAGGGTAGATGCTGGAATGAACCTTGTGCTGTTGAACTGGAATAGTAGGTACAAGTTTGATCTCATGATTGATAAGTAGATGAACAGATATATTTGTGGGTCTATACAACTGTGCTGAGGTCTTTAAACCTTGATGCCCAGTGGCAATGATTATACCGAGTGCCTAGCCTATACCTTGATGTTGAAATACCATGCTTCATTAAAAGGAATCAGGGCTCCTTAGAGAAAAGGCTGATCCTAGGGCCAGGAAAAGGAATGTATGAATATGAGACATCTTATGGTAGAATAAAACTCTGCTCAGAAAATTCTAGGGATTTATCAACAGAACACGGGAGACTGTTTGGAGGGGTTCTCACCACTCAAATCTGAGAGAGGTGAATTTCAAAATAATCATTGTAATAGATTAAAACCCATTCACTAAAATAGGAAGGAGTCCATGAGTCCACACTGATGTTAATTGTAGAGAAAGGAATTTTTTTCTTTATAGTAGAATGTCAATTATTAAATGTAATAGAAATGATAGAATTAGAATCACCATTAGGTAGCCATCATAATACCATCAGGGAAGAAAGATCAGTGGATACTAGTAATACTGAGTGAAAATTTGATGAGGAAACAGAATATTTATATACTTTCAAAGTATCTCCATGTGAAATATTTTATTAATTTCAAATGGAAAACACTCTTCAGTGGAAAAAACTGGTACATACCAACTTAACCAAAGGATCTAGTGATACCATGTGCCTCCTGCAATGATACATTGAGACCATAGCATCACTTATGTAGTATTTCTGCCCAAAATGGAAACCTGAATTTAATAACTAGGAAACACAGTCAAACCTAAATTAAAGGACATTTTTCAAATTAACTGGCCAGCACTTTTCAGAAATATGAAGGTCACAAAAGACAGGAAAAGACTAGGGGACTTCCAGATTGCGGAAAACCACAAACCACAGACATATAACAATTAAGTGTAACACACAATACTGGCTTGAATCCTGGACCAGATAAAATATATTTTTCCTGTTACTAAAAGAGCATTATTGGTACCATAGGCGAAATTTTAATGGGGTCTATAGATTAAATGGTATCAAAGTTAATTTCCTAATTTTGATAGTTGTAATGTGGTTATGTAGACTGCCCAAGTCTTGAGAAAATTTTCACTGACACATTTAAGTATAAATGGGGTATTCATGTTTGCAACTTAGATGGTTCAGAAAAATGTGCATATATACATATACAAAAATACACACATACATATGAGAGAGAATGATAAAGCAAATGTGGTTAAATGTCAACAACTGGGAAACCTGGGTGAAGGATATATGGGAATTCTTTGGCTATTTAAACAATTTTTCTGTAAGTGTAAATAAAATAGTTCATATATATATTATGTTCATTTCCTTTTTATTGAATTTATTGGGGTAACACAGGTAAACACAATTATACAGGTTTCAAGTGCACAATTCTACAACATGTCAACTCTCCTTTCATCACCATTTATCCCCCTATACCCTCCTGAAAAGAAAATTGAGTTTTTGTAGCCTGAGTCATACATAAAAGGCTTTTATTTTTTGCTTATCTACCCCTCCATCTAGTTCTAAAAATAATTTATATGAATATATAAAAAACAAGATAAAATAAATTGAAAACAAGTAAGAAATACATGTTATCTTGGCAAGAATCTTCTAAATTGTTAAATTCTACAAAATACTCTTGAAAATTTGACAGATTATGGGAAGAGATTTGTCTTTGTTTTGGGAAAGAGCCCAAACTTCAATAAAGCTATTAGTTCCTTTGTGTCCCTGATACCTTTTTATTTAAAACGTGACTGCAGTTAGACACAGAGAATGTAATACTGGGCAACAGAGGCAGAAAATCATTGTTAATAAGAATGAAAGAAATACACTTTAAAAATTTTACAGAATTTTATGCATGTGTACACACTTTATTAAATTTGCATTGTAAGATATACACAAAGTCAGCATTTCACAAAATTTCCTATTATTCCAAAAGCAGTTATCATGAAATAGTGATTATATAAATCAGTCAAGCAAAAAGCATCTATAGGATTTTCTCATCATATCATCTCATACTTATTTTCAAATATAAGTCTGAAATATGATATAATAGAGAATAGAAAGAGAATTTTAATTTATAACAATGATCACTTTTAAATATTAAACTTTATATAAAAATAAAGGGGTACTGTCAACCAAGCTCATCTGAAGATTAGCATATCTTTCATTTACCTCAAAACAATCCCTGCACAAACTTAACTTCCTAGTCCATTTAAACAATAAAAACAAACCTTGGTTTAAAGAGTAAAGTGAGCCATCTTGCTTTCTAGTTCTCATATCACTGGAACAATTTCATTTTCCTGCCCTAATTCTACCCCACCACTGAATTTCAAAAATAAATATCACATTCCAAAGATCATTTCTTAAGAGTTCTAAATTGCATCCAAAAAAATGGCCAAAAGTGTCCCTTTAAGGCAAAAAGACAGTAGAATGAAGGTGGGTAAGTATCCTGTAAGATATAATTCTCTCAATATGATATAGGCAGAAACATCTTAACATGGTTCTTTCACAAACAGAATAAATACACTGAATACCATCGAAGTGATGTTTCTTTAAAATGGCATATTAGGTTCACTTCTTGGCCTTTTAGCTAAGATCAAGTATAGTAAATGGGCATACTAGGGAACAATCTTCATAATATACCCATTTATGTTAGGTTTGAAGGGGTTGTGCCCTTTGTGCAGGTGAAAGCAATATAAAAAATTAAGACATTAATGGGAATTACATTATAGTGGTCATTACAATATAAAATAAACAATACACCTGATGTTGTTACAGAACTACTTACTGCTAGCTAAGTGATGATGCTCTCTTACAATTCAAAGAGAATAGGTTTCCCTTCAAGCCATACAGTATTACTAGTCTGTGAGTACCTACAAAGTGCAACATCTTCCTTTAAGATTCAAGGATCATTGTCTTCAAAAGACACAAGTGCAGTAGTCTTGGTTTCTTACATACATTAAAAAAATGGAATAATATGATCCTAGCAGGCAAATTTGCATATTAAATACAAACAATCCACCCACAATATCTGAACATTAAATGAAATCTATTATGACAGACATTTTTACACAGCTTTAAATAATAAATAACACAACAAAATACTACAGTCAGGTTTTTTAAATAGCTTCGTTCAGGATTTTCCTATTAAAAATTAACTTCTGGTACCTCAGACTTATTACCATGTACAACATTCACAGCTCAAATAGTTTCTTAAAAGCTGAACTCACAATAACATTTTTTTCTTCCCTGGCTCCTTGAAAGCTTCCTCATAGATATTAAACTGCCCTTGCTATAAGACAGCCTGAACAAGAACTGAACTCTAATTTTGGTGGCAACACAATGACCAAAACACAGTCAGCAGCACCACTCACCACATGACAAAACAAACAAATCCAATGACAAAAAAGTAATCAGAAAAAAAATCAGCAATTGAGACAGTATGTGGCAATCAGTCACATAAAGACCCCTTTCCTACCCTACCTTATGATATACATGGTTTATAGCATAGCACTGTACCTCAAGGCACCTCAGGCCTCATAATATCATGCAAAACAAGCTGTTAAGCTTCACATATGCTTTTCTAGACAGCGGTTTGTGTGTAAATAACATTATTCATTCATTTGTAGATGCTCCACACATCTGGTCAAAGCAGGAATTTCTTCTCCTTGATAACACCACCTAGAAACATTAACAATATTTTATATATTCCTTAGGGTAACAGATTTGGGGAGGAAATAGCAACTATGGTAGCTAAGTCATAAGAACTTGTGATGACTACTCCAGGCATCCGGTAAGTACATTTAAGTTCTCCACACTAAAATCAATCCTCACGTCATAAACTCCAAAAGCAAAGAAGCAATGTGGGTAGTAATGAAAGCAACTACGTGCTTTTTCTGCTCTGTGAGAAATGGCAAGTAAGCAGATCAAACAGGAAAGAGAAACAAAATAATGTAGTTTAAGGTGATGCAGAAAAATAAAATAACATAATCAAAACCAATTCATCTATTGTGAAATAAAGAGATTTGAAACTATGTTGTCAACAGAGGACAAAATAAATCTCTCAAGCAAGCAAGAGAATTTCTGATCAACTCTAGCTGCCATATTACTGCTGGGAAAAGGAACCATTATCAAGAATATATATCAGGGCTTTCCTTAAATGTATAGACTCTAAAAAGGGGGCTCTTTGAGGCACAGAGAAATATGTACATATTAGTATTTATAAATACATACTCAAAGCAATTAAAAATGAGTATTTGAGGTTTTGTCACTAGATCCAAAATGTGATCAGCAAAAAGAGACACAAGTAAGGTCACTGTCTTTGTAAAATTGAACTTTAGAGAAGAGAGATGCCAAAAAAAAGAGAATGGTGTTACTTTAATCCTCATTACGGATCAAAGTTCTCTGCATTCCTCACTGAATGCTTTATGTAGAAAAGAGCAGTTAAAACACTGAATCAGAAATAGGTAAATCACTTGGGTGAGAGATCATCCATCAAGATGTTTGGAGGGCATGAATTGGAGCATGCTACTGGAGACTCTGCAGTTGTGCTGCCTTTAGCCAGCAAGTCTGAGGATAAGCCACTGTTGCTACTGCCGCTACTACTGCCATCCAAAATATCTGAACTGAGGACAAAGCAAAAAGAATTATAAGCAGATGCACCTATTAGGGTAAATGTAAACATAACATGCAGCAACAGTTTCAAGAACTCACAAATCAGTAGAGCATTTGTAAATAATAGAAAGTATAAAAGCAATAGCAATGAACTACATCATGTTCTAGATTTAGATACCTGCGAAAGCACAAAGTCACAGAAATTGAAACTAAGACACTCAGGGTTCTGTACCATTTTAGTGCTCTCCTGGAGGCACCAGAATGTCCAACATATAATAAACATTTCTCTTGACATGTCATGGTTTTCGTGAGGTTACCTTCAGCTCAAGAGATTTCTATCCTTATATTTATCTTCTTACCTACCCATCAGCCTTATAGTAAAAGGAATGATTACTCACTTAGGTAGCTACCCTGAACTGTGTGAAGCAGTCTATCAAGTACATTGTTTCATGGTCCTTCTATTCCAGAACCAAGTCTTTCAATTGCCCTAGATTTTACCACTTGCCCACTCCCAAGAGGCTTTCGATTCTAATATTTTTTCTAATTTCCTCCATTATTTGCCTCTTATATTCTTCTCATTTTATGAATTTCTTACACCACTTCCTTTCCTCTTGCTTTCAAAACCCAAAGGTCTCCCTAACGTCTCTAAAAGACTCCTTTCTTTGATTCCTTCCATTACTATCCAGTTAAGCTTCTAAAAGGAATGCTCTGTATCTACAGACCCAATACGCTCACAGTCCACTCAACTCTATAATCCTGACGATGGGCTTCTGCTCCTACCTTTCCACTAAAGCTCCTGGCCTGGGCATCAAGAGCTTCTATAGCCCAGCACAGGGATACCTTATCCATTCAGCCCAAGCCCTCATGGCTCCCAACAATCAATCTGGCTTGCCTCATTAATCTGCCTTTATACTTCAGCATTCACAACCAACAACCTTCACAATTTGGCATCAGGCTGCCTTTCTGACTTTGATTACCATCAATCCCACATATAAGATATATGCTCTTTATTTGGCCCAAATTCACTCCTTTGTTTATTCTAATACTACTGAGTTCCTACCAAGTGCAGGGAGTATGTTAGATATTAGAAAATGGTGTATAAGACAGACATGGTCCCTGCCCTCATCTAATTTACAGGAGTGCAGAACACAGACATTTAAATAATTATGCTGATAAACATGTAATTATAATCTGTGATCAAAGCAATAAAGGAAAGATACAATGGGCTCTGAAAGTATATAACATGGGTAACCTGATATAATTTGGAGGAACAGGGAGGAACAAGGCTCCCTAAAAGTGGTATTTGAGCTGTCATCTGAAAGATGAGTAGGCATGAACTAAATAAGGTTTTGGAAGAAGCAAGGGTAGTTCTAGAAGCCAAAAACAAGCTAGTGTGGCTGTAGTACAGACAATAAGAACATGACAAGCAACAAAGTTGGGGAAGTAGTAAGGCAGTTTTAGAATTTACTCAGACATATCTTTTATTTTTGAAAAAGAAACAAAACATAAAATTGGAGAAGTGATTATGAATCAGGAAATATGGGTTCTAGCTTAAGACTGGTCACTAGCTCCTTTGCAAATGCCCATCCTAATCTAATATGCTCTAAGGCTAAGTATTATAAGTATTTAATATTATCATTTTTTAAGATTTTTAAATTTTATTTTTATTTATTTTTTAGAGAGGCGAAGGGAGGGAGAAAGAGAGGGAGAGAAACATCAATGTGTGGTTGCCTCTCACATGCCCCCTGCTGGGGACCTGGCCCAAAACCCTACACCGGGAATTGAACCATTGACCCTTTGCTTCGCAGGCCAGCACTCAATCCACTGAGCCATACCAGCCAGGGCTAATATTATCATTTTTATGAATTTCTAAATTAACATGTTCCAAATGTTAAGCAACCTGTGGTACATTTGGAAGCTTCTGGGCCCTATACCACCCTCAATGAAATACAACTCCCCGTGCACCCGCTTCCTCTACTCTTCTATTTTTCTTCAAAATGTCATTTCTTTCTATTCTCACTGGATTGTTTTTAGGTGGAGACAGAATACAAAGAGACTGTGGAAAAGTAAAAATAAAAATGGAAACAGTATATTCCACAGTACTCCTACTCTGTGCTCACTGCTTTCAAGTGCATCATTAATAATACCATTTTTAAGAAGGAAGTTTGGATAATTTAGCTGGCTCAGGTATTTTCTAAACCAAAAGGCAAAACGGGTCTAAAATATGAAAATTTGAAAGAAAGTTGCACAGATAATCTGAGACACTGGAAAATCAAAACATATGTGATTTTTTTTCCTCCTGAAGTATTTGGCCTAGACTAATATTAAAATGAATTTACTTTCCTAAAGCACACATTGGCAGGGCAGCCGAAGGTGCTACTTGGCAGGAAGAAACAGGTTTGGATTAAAATTTGGCCACTAAGCAGATAATCTGAATAGAAATAAAGACTTTATTATTCTAACCACCAGACTTATGGTGCGCCCTGGGTTAAAAGATTCTATTTGTAACAAGACCTGCTTGCTTAGGTGACCCTTGTATTCATTAAAAAACACAGAACATGAGAGTGGTGAACACACAATGCAACATACAGATGATGTATTATAGAATTGTACACTTGAAACCTATATAATTTTATTAACCAATGTCACCCCAATAAATTTAACTTTAAAAAACATAGAACATAACTCATGCAGAGAAATCTATCATTCAACACTGTTATTACTTTAAGAGAAATAAACTAATGGGGAAGTTACCAAGAAAAAAACCTGAACATTTCATTTCATATCTTTTCAAGAATTCTTTTTCTATTATTAAATATAAACATATATAAAATTTTGTTCATTAACAGAAAAACAGCATACTCATATTTGGTCCTCAGTGCAATTCATATTCAGAACTTAGTAAACCTTTAACCAAGTATTTTCACTAAACTAAAATGTACTTTCTCTTATAAGTAATCTGGCACTACTACCCGTGGTCTGGAAGCACAGACTACAAGTCACAAATTACCCACTATTAATAGATCTCCAAAAAGCAACGCTTATATACTTTAATCCATGGATCACTAAACAAAAGTGATTTTCACAGTGTCCACTATTAAACATTCTACCAGGGTTTCTAAAAGCCACAATATATGGTCCAATTTGAGTTTCTCTCTTCCTTTCCCAGCTTAAGCTCTGATGGAGGTGTTAATGAGCCTTAGACTAATGACCAAAAGCCAAACAATGGCAATAAAGCAAAGGGCCTACACAATTTACACTGAACATAGGAGAATATTAATGCATGACCCATGGACATGGACAACAATATGGGATTGACTGAGGGAGAGAATAGAGTGGGGCTGGTTGGAGGTGGGCAACAGGAGAAAAAGTGTGGACAACTGTAATAGCATAAACAATGAAGTTTAAAAAACTGAAAAAAAAGGAAAAAAGTGAACTATTTCCTTCCAGTCACTGAATATACATGTTGAGGCACACAACCAAAAATACTTATGATTATTAAAATAGTGCACTCTGTCTAAAAACAAACAAACAAAACTAAGGGTGAAATTTTAAGAGAATCATTAAAACATTCAAACAGTAAAACTAGGATGTCTGGTATGATTCATACCCTCACCCCATCCAGTTGAGCCACTCTGTCTTGTCCAGTCAATAAACTGGTTTCTATCAGATTAATGGCTGACAGGTAATGTACTGAAAGCTAGCCACAGCCCTATCAAGCCAGCAGATCTTGGTATAAGGTAAGACTACAGGGCATCCCTCACCCCTTGATGTGGGTTAAACTGGTCCATAGGGCATGTTCTCTGGTCTCAACTAGTTTACCTTAAGCCCAACATTATCTTCCCATATAACTTTTAAGATCACACATTTAAATATGATCATTTCCATAGTCACCTTGGAGACAAGAGTTTAAAAGTATCTGCAGAAATGTATAAACTGCTCACATAAATATCTTCAAAGTGTATGTATACATTTGTATTATTAAATAAATCATGATTAAATCTTATTATTTGTATGTCACATATTCACTATGAAATTTTTTGCCATGACACATATATTAAAAATAATGTTAAAATCACTAAGATTAATCTAATAAAAATGTTACCATAAAACCATAAAAGTTAAATTAGCAGTCACGTTAACACTGATGCAATAGGCAAGAAAATTCATGGAAGACTTTTTCCTTTTCTGTAGGTGAAACAGACTATCACCTAACCTTAACTACATGAAGCCCTGAAAATTCCTTTATTTTTGTGTCACAGATCATCTTATTCCCAAAAGAATGAGGAGCATAACATGAATTGCCCATGCAAAAGAATCAAAGCACCATGCAAAGGTGTATGTGATCAAACTCTTGATGTTCATGAAGACTAAATGCAAAATGACATAATTCTTGCCTTGTGTGACAATGTTCCCCACATTTGATTGGCAGAGGTCTCAGAATTTTCAGTTAGTAAAAAAATATAATATTAAGAACAGGCTTACTATTTCTTTGGGCAGCAGTTGGCACACTGGACAGATTCCAAATGGGTTTGTACTCAAACTTCACATTTAATTTATAATTCAAAGATGTCAGATTTTAAAGGTTATTGTCTAGTATATAAACTTTAAAGCGTTAAAACCCATCTGTTCTTTGCAGAGTAGGGCAGGAAATGAACTATAACAATTTAAGTGAGCCCTGGTTGGTATGGCTCAGTGGATTGAGCACCAGCCTGCAAACCAAAGGGTCACAGGTTCGATTTCCAGTCAGGGCACATGCCTGGGTTGTGGGCCAGGTCCCCAGTAGGGGGCATAGAATAGGCAACCACACATTGATGTTTCTCTCCCTCTCTTTCTCCTCTCCTTCTTCTCTGTCTAAAAATAAATAAATCTTTAAAAAAACAATTTAAATGATCATTTACTAATGATCTGATACTTTTTCTACTTTCTAAAAGTCAGCTTGTTTCCATAGTTTTGTTATCAAGTAGATTGCTATCTTTGGCAATAAAAAACTAAACACAGCTACTTCCTGTTTTTGTCCCCATTTCTAAGAATATGGATGTTTGATCAATCAAAATGCATTAAAGAGAAAGAAAAAAGTTTTTGTAAGGATCCAATTTTTACATGTAGGGAGTAACTCTTTTTAAAATCTCTTAGTTGTAGACATCAATGTTTACATTATTAGTATACAAGGTGCCTCAAAAATCTTAGTGCAAACTTAAGTTTTAATATTCTTGGAAATCCAGGTGCTACAAACTCACTAAAATGTCACTTAAAATGTTAACTACTTAAATATTTTTGACTTAGTTTTAAGTATTCCACTTAGTTTTGTGAATTTTGAGTAATACATTTATTTTTAACATATTACTTGAGCTTCTTAGCGCTCTATGAGGGGCCGTGAATTAAGTAAATCTCTCCAGTGTGAGGGAACACTTTTTGTGTTTATGAATAAAAAGTGCCCTTCATCACCAATGTTCATGTTTCCAGGCCTCTCATAGCCAGTTACAAGTCTTTGGAGAATGGGAGTAGTGGCAACAGAAATAGAAACCTCGTAACAGTCACCATCGTCTACAGCTTACATTATGCTGCTCAGAGGACTAAATGGCTGGATAAGGGGATACCACATCTTCTCTTTCCTTTCTTATTTGCATGAACCTGTTTTATGGCATCCTGCGCAGTAAGCCTATGAAAATATATATATATATATATATATAGATAGATAGATAGATAGATAGATATAGATATAGATTTTTTTTTATAAATCCCCTCACCCTATCTAATGTTTTTAGCTTGGCAAAAAGCTTTCATACCTTTTACCTAATCTGGTTACTTGGTTAGTAACTGGGTAAGCAAATCTATTTATAATGCCATGTGCTTATAATAAAACACACTTTACCATAAAAGTGATATGTAGTTTCCACTAAGTATAGAGTTTCATCTGCTAGTCATCTTGACAAGCTTTAGACGTTTTCTCTTTGCAATCATCTACATACCTGGAAAGGCACTCTGTACCAAATTAGCACACTGAGCTACCAAGGGCAGACAGAGATGAGAGAGAAGAAAAATTGTGGGGTTGAAAATAGCTAGAACAATCTAAAAGGTATCTGTTCCAAGGTTAGAACAGTACTAATCAATGAGTCTAATAAACTAGAATAATCTGACTTCTTGGTCAATGAAAAGTATAGGTTATTGTATATGTTTTGTATCACTTATACAAAACATGGTGTAAGTGTTTTTGAAAAAAGGAATTATTGATCCTTATACCTTATATGTGGCTTACACAAATCTTTCATTTAAAGAACACCATCCTTTTAAATTGAATTCCCTTGTGGGCTCTTTATAAAAGACCTTTAGCCATAAAACCTGGGGAACAGAAAGCTCTGAAAGGCAATTCACAGCCATATCTTGAACATGATTGTGTACTGTGAGTTGATTAAAATGTACTTAAAAATTTCAAATTATTATCTGGCAACTGCTATTATTCCTTCCCCTTTCTTCCAACACATCTTTCAGTATCCAAATGCTCAACTTCAGGTACAGGAAAGTAAGTTAACTTTAGCACAAAAACATTAAAGGGCCTTAAGTTGGACATCTAAACTAAAATGAGTTAGACTAAAAAGAAAATGTGAGTGGACCGTAAGAATCAGGAAGTGTTACTATAAAAATGAAAACTTAAGTTAGCATTGGGATGAAATACCCCAAACACTTAAAAATATTTTATAACAACAGATGATGCTATTTAGAAAATGCCACTCTAAAGAGAATACTGGTATTCTCTGCTAAGTCAAAAGGATATAATACAAAATGCCAGCAGAACAGCTACAATCAGTGGACGATTACCCAGAGAAACCCAGAAACCCTCATACCATCCAGGTGCTGACACTTTACCACACCATTATCACTTACTGAAAGAGGATGACCTAACAACAGGAGCTAGGAATGAAGGTGTCAAAAAGATACACACTTCGAAAGAAATACTCATGACTTCTAAATGCTTTTTCACATTACACATTATCTACACCTCTAGATTTCCCCTCTCAGGAGCATTGCTAAAAAGCTGAATATATTTTAAATGACCCCAATATACTTTTGATGTGGCTCTTTTTAAATAGATTATATCTTAATATCCTTTTGATTTTATTTCATTTTTTACCATGAACTAAGGTCAGACAATTGTGCAGTCTCCGGAGACAGCATATTGGTAGTGCCTTGGAAGAGCCTCTTGGGCTGGCTTTCAGTCTCCATTTCACCTAAAACAGAAAGAAATAGTGCTACTGTAAAACAATTTTACAGGTTTAGTGTTAAAATAGGGTGATCATTGTTTAACCAAAGCTCAGCATACTTCTTGAAGCTGTTACTTAAAAGATATTTTTCCATGTGTTTCACATAGAATATACTTCCACATAACCTTAACCAAAAAATCAGAAGCCCTAAAACAAAAAAACAAAAAAACTTCTAATTTATTAAATGTATCACACTACAGATATAGTCATATTCTTTTATCTTTTATAAAATACACTATATTGATTATGCTATTAGAGTTATCCCAATTTTCCCCCTTTGCCCCCCTCCACTCAGTGCCCCCTTTCCTTCCAGCAATCCCTTGCTTAGTTCATGTCCATGGGTACTCTGGCTTCTCCATTTCCTATACTGTTCTTAACACCCCCTGTCTATTCTGTACCTAACAAGTTGTACTTCCTAATCCCTGTACCTTTTCCCCCTTTCACCCTCTTCCCCTCCCAATATGACCTCCATATATATGATTCTGTTTCTGTTCTGCTTGTTTGTTTAGTTTGTTTTTTAGATTCAATTGTTGGTAGTTGTGAATTTATTGCCATTTTAACGTTCATCATTTGGATCTTCTTTTTCTTAAATAGGTCCCTTTAACATTTCATATAATAATGGGTTGGTGATGATGAACTCCTTTAGTTTTTTCTTGCCTGGGGAGTACTTTATTTGCCCTTTGACTTTAAATGATGGTTTTGCTGGATAGAGTAATCCAAGTTGTAGGTCCTTACTTTTCATCACTTTGAATACTTCTTGCCAGTCCCTTCTTGCCTGCAAAGTTTCTTTTGAGAAATCAAATGACAGTCTTATGGGAACTCCTTTACAGGTAAAAATCTGCTTTTCTCTTGCTGCTTTTAAGACTCTCCTTATCTTTAACCTTTGACATTTTAATTATGATGTGTCCTGGTGTGGGACTCTTTGTGTGCATCTTGTTTGACACTGTGCTTCCTGAACTTGTATGTCTATTTCCTTCACCAAACTAAGGAAGTTTTCTTACATTATTTTTACACTTAAGTTTTCAATTTCTTGTTCTTTCTCTTCTTCTGGCACCCCTATGATGAGAATGTTGGTACTTTTGAAGATGTCCCAGAGGCTCCTTACCCTATCCTTGTTGGGTTTTTGTTTTTTGTGTTTTTATTCTTTTTCTTCTTGCTGTTCTGACTGAATATTTTTTTTCTTCCTTATGTTCCAAATCAGTGATTTGTTTTCTGGCTTCATCCACTTCACTGTTGATTCCCTATAAATTTTATTCCATTAGTGTAACCTTCATTTTTGCCTGGGTCTTTTTTACACCACTGAAGTACCCAATGAGTTCCCTGAGCATCCTAACAACCAGTGTTTTGAACTCTGCATGTGATAGGTTGGTTGTCTCCATTTTGTTTATTTCTTTTTCTGGAATTTTGACCTGTTTTTTCATTTGGGCCCTATTTCTCTCTCCTCATTTTGGCATCCTCCCTGTGTTTGTTTCTACGTATTAGGTAGAGATGCTTTGAATCCCTGTCTTAGTACCATGCCTACTATAGAAAAGTGTACCCGTAACTTGGATGTAGTGAAGCCTTAGGTAATCACTAGGGCTTGGCAACCCATGTCAACTAGGTTGATGGAGTCTCAAATACGGTGTTGCTCCTATGTGGCTCTGTGTGTAAAGGGCTCATAAAAGGGACAATGGCTGTTGCCTGGCCTCTGGTTTTGTTCAGGAAAAAGCTGTCCCCCAGCACTCACCCTGATGCCAGACACTTCAGTTTCTTCCCATATACCACTGGTGCCCTTCCAGCCTCTGCCCCAGTTCTGGAGCTCAGAGGGAGTAAGTCTGCATAAGTCCTAAGTCCATTGCAGGATCTTTAGGAGCAGCCTGAGAATTCCGCAGTTTCTTCTGCTACCCCAACCCCCACTGGTTTTTACAGTCAGAAGTTATGGGGACTTGTCTCCCCGGCACTGGAATCATGGGCTGGGTAGTCTAATGTGGGGCTGGGATCCCTCACTCCTGAGACATTCCTTCTAACTTTTATCCACCACACTTGGATGTGGGACCGCATATCCCAGGTCTCCATGTTTCCACCACTCATACCTGTCTGGATGAATGTGCCTTCTTTAATTCCTTGGTTGTCAGACTTACCTACAGCTTGATTTTCTGATGATTCTGGGTGGCAGTTGTTTTGTAGTTTAGTTATAATTTTTGCATTGTTTGTACAACGAAGCAAGCCATGATTACCTTCACCTTGACCTTGGCAGCAAGTTCTAGTCATGTTCTTTAATAGAACAGTAGAACACTGATTGCATCGATCAAAATGAATCAAGGCTAACCACAGTGGAAAAACGCATCTCCAAATAGCTGAAACTTCATTATGCTAGGTTATTAGTAAAGACTTGATTTTATATATTTTAATATCAGAACATTTCCTGAGTTGAAGTCAAATGGGTTAAAAATTACTCAGTCTGATAAAGAGCATATAAATCAAATGCTGCTTTAGGCTACTTAGTGAACATGAAAGTCAAAAATACAGTCATGGGCCACATAATGACATTTTGGTCAATGATGGACCACATATAACATGGTGGTCCCATAAGATTATAACAGAGCTGAAAACTTTCTGTTACCTTGTGAAGTCATAACCATCGTAAGGCCATAGAGCAACACAATCTTCACATGTTTGTGGTGATGAGGATGTAAACAAACCTACCATACTGCCAGTTGTATAAAAGTATTGCACACATAATTATGCACAGTATATAAAACTTGAAAATGATAATTATTATGTTACTGTTTTATGTATTTTGTATATGATAATTTTTATCATATGATTATTTTAGACTGTCTTCTTTGTACTTACAAAAAATGTTTGCCATAAAACAGTATGTTGTGTTACACCAGTAGCAGTCTTATACATCTCATGTTTACCATGTGTTTTGATTGCATCATTTTCCCTTTTGCTTGATTTGATCTCATGCTGTTTTTTAGAGTAACATGTAGTACAGGATTGTACACTCGGAGCAATAGGCTATACCATATGGCTTAGGTGTATAATGGGCTATACCACATAAGTTTGTGTAAGTGCACTCTAAGATGTTCATACTGATGAAATTGCCTGATTACGCATTTCTCAGAACATACCTCCATTGTTTAGGGATGCATGACTGTATAAGTTTGAAAGCACACTTATATCTGAAAGCAATTATTAATTCACAAAACTGGTATTGTACTGGCTACCTCAATCCTATAGATTTACTCAGAACTGGTAACAGAAAAACTTTGCATCAAAGGAATAGTGCTTAACATTTTGCTACTAGGGGTGCAAACACTAATAACCCTAAGTTACACAGAAAAAGCTCCTTTCCAAATAAGCTATGATTTAAAGCATACAAATAAACTTGGTTTTGAAACTTTTTATCTTAGCTTTAAAATGAAAGAGTAAGAAAAATTTAAGTTATGGGCTTATCTATATTCCAGTAGGAAATTAGTAACTATAAACTTAAACCTGTGCAAGGTTCTTATAATGGAAAAAGGGCAAGCAGGACTCCCAGCCAAGATGCAGGCATAGATAGACATACTTTGCCTCCTTGTAGAACAAAAATAAGGGAAACAACAAATTTAAAAACAAAAAATAACCAGAACTGCCAGAAAACAGAACTGTATGGAAGTCTGACAACCAAGGAGTTAAAGAAGAATAATTCATCCAGACCAGTAGGAGGGGCAGAGACAAGCGGCCAGGCAGAGAGGACATACAGCAAGGCAGTGGCCAGCGGACCAGGCAGTCCCACATTTGCATGCAGATAAACTGGGAGGGACAGCTGGGGAGAGAGACAGACCATGCAACTCAGGGTTCCAGAGTGGGAAAAGAAAGCCTTAAAATCTCTGACTGTAAAACCTTGTGGGGGTTGCGGCAGCAGGAGAAACTCCCAGACCTACAGGAGAGTCCATTGGAGAGCCCCATGGGGTCCTAGAACATACACAAACCTACCCACCTAAGAATCAGCACCAGAAGGGCCAAATTTGATTGTGGGTAGTGGAGAAAGTGACTAAAAGCTGGCAGAGAGACGAGCAAGTGGCATGGTTTTCTCTCAGATCCCTACACCACATACAGCATCACAATACAGTGACCTGGGTTGCCCAGCCCTGGCGAATACCTAAGGTGCCACCACTTCCAACGTAACAGGCATGCTGAGACAAAGAAATATGGCCCAAATGAAAGAACAGATCAAAGCCCCCAAAATAGAACTAAGCGATGAAGAGATAGCCACCCTATCAGATGCAGTTCAAAACACTGGTAATTGGATGCTCACTGAATTGGTTGAGTATGGTCACAAAATGGAGGAAAAAGTGAAGGCTATGCAACGTGAAATAAAAAAAATATACAGGGAACCAACAGTGAAGGGAAGGAAACTGGGGCTCAAATCAATGATCTGGAGCAGAAGGAAGAGATAAACATTCAACCAGAACAGAATGAAGAAACAAGAATTCAAAAAAAATGAGAAGAGGCTTAGGAACCTCTGGGACAACTTTACATGTTCTAACATCCAAATCACAGGGGTGCCAGAAGGAGAAGAGGAAGAGCAAGAAATTGAAAACTTATTTGAAAGAATAATGAAGAAGAACTTCCCCAATCTGGCCAAGGAAATAGACTTTCAGGAAGTCCAGGAAGCTCAGAGTCCCAGAGAAGTTGGACCCAAGGAAGCACACACCGAAGCACATCATAATTACATTACCCAAGATTAAAGATGAGGGGAGAATCTTAAAAGCAGCAAGAGAAAAGGATACAGTTATCTATAAAGAAACTCCCATAATACTACGAGCTGATTTCTCAAAGGAAACCTTTCAGGCGAGAAGGGACTGGAACAAGGTATTCAAAGTCATGAAAGACAAGGACCTATAGCCAAGATTACTCTATCCAGCAAAGCTATCATTTAGAATGGAAGGGCAGATAAAGTGCTTCCCAGATAAGGTCAAGTTCAAGGAGTTCATCATCACCAAGCCCTTATTATAAGAAATGTTAAAGGGGCTTATCTAAGAAAAAGAAGAAGATCAAAACTATGAACAGTAAAATGACAACAAAGGCACAACTATCAACAACTGAAACCAAAAAGAAACAAACAAACAAAAAAAAAGCACTAAGCAAACAAGAACAGGAACCAAAAAGAAACAAAAAAAACTAAGCAAACAAGAACAGGAAGAGACTCGCAGAAATGAAGATCAGAAGAAGGGGGAAGGGGGGCAAATAGAGGGAAAGGTACTGGGAATAAGAAGCATAAATGATAGGTACAAAATAGACAGGGGGAGGTTAAGAGTACTTTAGGAAATGGAGAAGCCAAAGAACTTATACGTATGACCCATGGACATGAACTAAGCGGGGAAGGTTGCTGGAAGGAAGGGGAGGACCAGTCAGAGGGGGCAAAGGGGGAAAAATTGGGACAACTGTAATAACATAATCAATAAAATATATTTAAATAAATAAAAAAGAAAAAGAGCAAGCAAAAACAAATACAATATTAAATTTTTTATATTTATCAATTAAATCATATTATCCTTCCCAAGGAGCTATTCTGAATATTACTAAAATTGAAAAAAGGTTGTATTTTTATTTGCTTTTTCCATACTTTCTTTATATTTATTTATTGGTTTTAGAGAAAGAGAAGGAGAAAGAGAGAAAGAAAGAGAGAGAGAGAGAGAGAGAGAGAGAGAGAGAAACATCAGTTTGTCGTTCCACTTATTTATGCATCCATTGGTGCCCTGACCAGGGAACTTGGCGAAGGGGAAGATGCACTAACCAACTGAGTTACCAGGCCGGGTGCTTTCCCCACACTTTAATATGCAGTTTTTAAAAGCTGCCGCCTGGCTTTCAACACCTCTTTAGCAAAAACACTTGAGCCCTTTTTAGCAAAGAATTCCTCCATCTGCTGGTATATTTTGGAATAGCTTTGAAACTAAACAACCATACTAACTCCTTCAATTTCCTGCAGCAAATTTAAAATTAATAACAACAACAATAATAGCTTTAATTTCTACATGTTACTTTCACAAAATACCTCCTGAGAAGATTCTTAGGATTATAAATAATTCCTTAAAGAATTAAGAAAATAGACTATTCGTTTATAAAATAAAATTTATTCACTAATACAAATATTGTCACTGTATCAGGATCTATTTTCCAGAACACACTCTTTAATTTTAAGTTGTCTGAAATATAGCACTTTTTGAATCTGTGTGTGATGCTATAACTGGAAAATTTTCATCAAAGCTGGTTAAGTATCATTTACCTACCACAAGGATAACTGACTAGTTTATTGGCCCCGAAGGTGATCTGCACAAAGAAACCACTTACTGAACTGTATTTTAAAATTACTGTTAAAACTCTTGTTTAAGATGACATCCAACAGTTGTAATCATGTGGTCATATCCCCAGGAATAATGACTAAAACTGTATTAAATTTGCCTTTTTAAAAATAGACTCAGGGGCCCATAAGCATCTAAAACTAACATTGAGTGAGATCATTTTAGTTTAGTGCTCTCTGGTTCAAAATAAGGTAATTAAGAGAGCACCCCAATTACAGCAAAAAACCTAAAGACTTGAATATGAGGCAATAATTCTCTCTTTGCCATTGCCAAGATATAATGTGGTGCTGGACTATATTTGAGAATATAGCTTGTTTATAGACCTATTTGCTGTGACATAAGCATATGTTTCTGCAAAATATAAATTTTATCTTTTATATCCAGGTCACTGAGGAGCAAAAATTTTGATAATATGAATATATGAATAAGATTCAGTTATGAAATATAAAAATATAGACAGTATCAAATAACTAATTTACAAAAGTTAGAATTAATAAAGCATACATGGGGAAGAGTACTGAGTATTTCTTTAGAAAAAAGGAGTCCTGCCTTGAAACTAATTTCAGACCGAAATTCTAATATGTAATGCAAGTTTGACTAGGTTTCATATCAGAAATGTGACCCTTACCTTTTCTTTTAAGAGGACCAAGAGCACTGGGCCTAATACACTTGACTGGACTCTGACTCCTCCTGCTTCAAAGAGTAAATAAACTGGATGAAGTGAAGGACTTCTAAGATGTAAGATAAACATTACAGACCAGCAACTAAGTCAATAAAATTGACATTCATATAGGGAGAAATAGAAAATGCCTGTGTTGTAGGCTGAGTAACTGAAATGTCAATACCAGATCTAACCTGGCATATGGCAATCTGTTGCTTTAAGCTATCTTTTAAAATCGTTCTGCAACACAAAATATCTACAAGAGTTACTTTTAAAAACATAAACTTATTTAAAAGTTATTTGAATTTGACTGGTCTACAATCTTAAACAAAATTTTTCCCTGTAAAAGGCATATTATCATGTGCACGTATGCGTGTCCACTGAATATAAACTGGTACTAAGTCTCAAAAAAATGAATCTGGTAAAATGTTAATGGTAGAATATAGGTAATAGGTATATGGATGTTCACTTTGCAATTATTTCAATTTTGCTTTCTCTTTTAAATTTTCCATAATAAAATGTCAGGGGGAAATTTTATCAGAGAGACAATTTTAAAAAACAGCATTTCACCTACATTTAAAAAGCAGGTTCACCTACCTGGAAAAGTGTCTTGGACTAGGAATGGGACTTGGTGGTAGCCCACTGCTGCTCAAAAACATTTGTAAGGATGGTGAAAAACATTGCTAGAAAGACATTTTTAATATGAAAATAGTTAGTTGTAATGCTCCAGTTTTTAACAGATTCTTCTCAAAATGACAGAAACAATATCCTTAGAATTGTTTAGTTATATATTTATCCCTTTCTATATATGGTCTTGTTTATATACAGAGAGATCCATATATATATATTTATATTTCAAATTACTATCATAGACTTTCTTGATTTTTCTTCCAGTCTTTGGATTCTTTAAAATTGAGGCAATTTGTGTGACTGTTACAGGTAGTAAACAACTCAATGTGTGAAAGAGAATTAATATATTGTCAATGAGTATACCTTTCCAAATCCCCTGGTGGGTGATGGTGCTGGAGAAACTGGAGTGAAGTCAATTCTTTTAGGAGAATATAATTTTTCTGCCTTGTCAAAATCATTATCACTCTGTAAAGATAATGCGTTATTTCCTCATAATTCACAATTCAGTACATCACAGCTCTTCTTTACTACATACACATGCCTATATTTTTTAGGGTAGAAATGTATTGTAAAAAGTTGCAATATAATATTTCAATGGAAAAGCAGAGATAAAAATGAATATAAATTTGGAAATAGAAGAGACAGAAATGTATGGAAAAATTAATAAAGCCAATGAACAATACAAAGGATTCTATAAAATAAAAAACAAAACAAGTAAACATAAAAATTTTACCAGGCTCAAGCTCTCGTCCCATGATTGACTTATCTGCATTGCTGTTTGCACTTCCCTAAAACAAACAAAAATGAAAGGCCATCAGTGCTCAGAAATAAGACATACACTAGGCTGTGCCCTATTCCTGTGAAGTACTAACCTTTCATGGGCAGTTTCTCTGTTCATTATATCCATGCCTTCTTCCTGCAAAGATAAACATGCACTGAAAACATAGTATTTATCCACATAATTCTTTATTTCGAAGAAAAGAAAAAAGACTTTTCTACCTTATCTGACATAATTACAGTACAGCAGAAATAACATTCTAAAATTGTCACCCATGCCACATCTGTATTTTATCTGAACACGTAGAATTTTAATCTGTCTACAACTAAACAGTTGCAGCCTGCAGCATTTTTGATATCTAAACATTCAAAATGAAAATAAAATCAAAATGTAAAGTTCAACCATGACTAGTGTGGCTCAGTTGGCTAAGTGTTCTCCCGCAAAGCAAAAGGTCACTGGTTCGATTCCTGTCAGGGCACATGCCTAGGTTGTGGGCCAGGTCTCTGGTTGGGGCACATGCTAGAGGCAACTGATAGATGTTTCTCTCACACATCAATGTTTCTCTCCCTCTCTTTCTCCCTCCTTTCTCCTCTCTCTAAAAATAAATAAATAAATGAATAACTAAATAAATATTCCCTTTTTTAAATTATTTTTTCAAATACACTTGTCTCTGCTTACCCCCCACCACTTTCCCTTGCCCCCTCCCTCCCTTCCTCCCTCAACTCTTCCCCTTTGGTTTTGTCCATGAGTCCTTGCTATATGTTCCTTGACTTTCCCCTTCCCTGCCTTTTCCCCCACCCCCCTCCCTCCTTCCCTCTTATAAATATTTTTAATGCAAAATTCAGAAAATTGTAGATCTGTGCTAGAAAGTAAAATTTACCCTTTTGATTTGATGTAGTCTGCTACTAGATATCTGATTAGGTGAAGATGACAGCAACTGGAAAGAAAAAGTAAACATTTACTAATTTCTGAATCTCAAAGCAGCAATCTGCTGTTTTACCAGTGTACAACCTCTTCCTGGATAATTTTTCATATATTTTTTAATTTTATTTTTAAATCATGTTTATTCTATTAGAGTTGTCTCAATTTTTCCCCCTTTGCCCCCCTCCACCCACGCCACCCCCCACCCCCGCTCCCACAGTCAATGCCCACTCTGTTGTCCATGTCCATGGGTCATTCATACATGTTCTTTGTCTAGTCCCTTCTCCTTCATTCCACCATTGTCCTCTTTCCCCATCCCCTCTGGTCACTTTCAGTCTGCTCCATGTTTCCTTGCCTACAGTTTATTTTGCTCATTAGTTTATCTTGTTGAATACATTCTACTTACAGGTGAGATCATATGGTATTTGTCTTTCACCAACTGGTTTATATCACTTAGCATAATATTCTCCAGTTCCATCCATGTTGTTGTAAAAGGTAGGAGTTCCCTCTTCCTTTTTTTAAATGCAGATTGATTTTATTTATTTTCTTTAAATGTCAAGGTCCATTATAAAATATTTAAAAATTCTATTTTGAATTTTCTCCTAAAACTCTTTAGATTTTACATACTAATTTTTAATTCACCTGAATATTTTTTGTATAATGTGTGAAATAGGGCTCTATATTTGTTTTATTTCAAATAGTTTTTCATATTCTTTAGAAAACTAGTTCTTTAAATTACTGAACAATAATGCACTAGAGGCAGCACATTCAGTCTTTAGAAAGTACACCAGGTGTCCAACCTCAAGGCACCATCTGTCATTAGTCAGACACTGAATTTAACACTTTTTCCAGGTGAATGCAGAGCTGTATACATTTATGTGAAATAAAAAGACTCCAAGCCTTGGAAATATCTATCACCCCACTAATTTAAAATAAAGAACTATATGAGAAGGAACAGGAAAAAAAACTGATTTTATTCACTGTTATTACCAATTCACCAATGGAAAAAGACAGGCCAAAAAGCCTAGTATAACATTGTGTCTATGATTAATGTTTATCAAAAGCACTTTAAAACTGCAATAAGATTTTGTTTGCATGATCTAAATCAATTCTAAAATTTGATCACTAATGCTATCACTACAAACCTTACTAGCTAAGAAAAATCAATGTGGAAGGCAAGGTGTATAAATAAAATAACTTGTCTTCCCCTAGATCGCCATTTTTTAATAACACAAAGCTGAATTGATTTGGGGGCCAAATTGTGTTCCATCAAAATAATCACAATCTGATTACAAAATGTAAGATACAATTTATATCAACAGATTTTATAGGGTCCTAATACCTATAATATAAACAACTACTATGTATCCCCTAATGAACTGTAAATGAAATTGTAATACTATAAAACCAAATAAGACAATTATCCTGTTACAAGAGGCCTTATCCTATTAAAACTTTTTTGAATATTAATGTAGTGAGTAGTATACAATGGTGATAAACTGCTCTAAGTTGTTTAGGCAAAAGCTAATTCAGGTAAAATTTTTAAGTTATCCACTGAAATATGATTTTACCTCAAAAGATATCTCTTCATTACCCCCTCCTTTCTTTCACTTTTTCCTCTCCTAGGCTTTGAAAAGAAAAAAACTTTACCAGTAAAATCACTTTAAAAAGCACTTTTTCCATTATGAAAGCAATGCATATTTATTGATGAACTCTTAATAAGGTCATTTGAAAACCAGTAAGCTACTAGGCAAGTAAATAAGGCAAGAAAGGCTCTAACAGGACAATATGAAGAGTATTGATGTGTCTCTCCATCAGAGAACAAAAGAAACCCCAAAGGCAGTGAAATAATCAGGAAAGCCAAAGTGAGGACTGCCACACCTGACTGTGGAAAAAGTCAGAAATTTAGATGCTGTATCTACATGGCATACAACTTGTCGATTTTAGACAGAACTGGAAAGTAGACCTGAAAGAGGAACAGAGAAGCAAAGCCATGTCTAGTACCAGAAACAGAGTAAGGTACAGACTTAGAAAAGGCCATGAACTTCAATGAGGTGCTAGTTAATGGTGTTAAGTCAAGCAAAGGGCTCAAGTTGGATAAGAAAAGAGGCCCCTGGCTTTGGCAATCAAGTGGGTGTTGATGACTTTTGCAAGAACAGGTTTTTAACAGAGTTGTGGTAAGAATGATGAGATTACAAACTGGCTGAATAGTTAACAAGAAATTAGGAGACAGTGGAGTGTAGATTAAACTTTGAAAAAGATTCCAGTGGTGAAGGAAAAAAGGGAAGGAGAGATTCAAGAAAAAAGAAAACGTTTGTTTTCCAGATATTAGAGGTGTGAGTCAGAAGAAAGTGGAAGAAAAGAGGCAGTGAGGAAGAGACTGAAGACATAAGATAGAGAGAAGATGACAGACCAAGCAAAGTGATAGAAGATTCATAAAATATATAAACCATTTGGGGTAAACACCCCATGTAAAGGTTGAAGGTAAAGACATTTTAAGAAGAAAGCTGACACATGTACAAGATAGGTGTCTTCCTTCTCAGTGAAGTAAGAAGGGTTGTCTGCTGAAAGTGAATGGTGGTGAGGCTTGCAGAGTTTTTTTGTTTTTTTAGATTTAGAATATTTCTTTGGAAAAGAGCATGGGGCCAGTGGAACCTTGAACCCAACATGTTCAGAAAGATTTTATCTTCATTTGTCCCTTCAAACAACCAATTCCTCTCATTTTTCCCTACCCACAATAAAGGCAACACCTTTCCCTTGATCACCAAGAAATAAAATTGTAGTCACTTTGAGTCCCCCTTCTCCCTGCCTTTATATATAACCAGTTGTCAAATCATGAAGATCCTACTTTTTCATGTTTCCTTCATCAGTTCCCTTCTTTTCAATTCATTCACCAACACCTTATTTTTTGCAGGTTAATATGGCACATAGCTAAGTGTATTAAGATTTATAGCCCTGGCTGGTGTGGCTCAGTGGATTGAGCACCAGCCTGTGAACAAAAGGGTCACCAGTTCGATTCCCAGTCAGGGCACATGCCTGGGCTGCGGGCCAAGTCCCCAGTAGGGGATATATGAGAGGAACCCATGCACTGATACTTCTCTCCCTCTTTCTCCCTCTCTTCCCCTCTCTCTAAAAATAATAAATAAAATCTTTTAAAAAAGATTTATGGAGTACACTGTGATATACTATATATGATGCAACTAATATTATGATAGAAATACCCAGAGGGTGATGTGGAATGCTTCCCACATTGGATAGCTAGAAAGGAGAAGGGGATGGGGTGAAGGGTAGCATAAGGATCAACAAAAAGCAGTGAATCAACATAACTCATTTAGCAAACTAGGTATTTTAGTGCTGCCAGGGCCTAGGGTGGGTATTTATTTGTCAGGGAGCAGGGAGTACTAAGCCTGGACAGAGTCAATAAGAATCTTCACATCTTAGGAAAGAGGAAAGTGAAGTGTAAAGAGGCAAATTCATTTTCCCTTCTTTCCTATGCTATTGATGCAGAAACATTTTTCATATATACAGCAAAAATAAGAACTCATATTTTTCTAAATTTTTCATAATTTTTCTAAACAAAAAAACTCTGACTCAGGGAAGGAAGTAAAGTAAATCAAATCTCCAGATAGTCAACATTTTCCCCTTCTGCTGAAAATCTTTCTTAAACGTGTGATGTTTTCTCCCTTGTTAAACAGATTATACCAAATGGAATGGCACTGGAAGATCTCTATTCTAATCCCAGCTCAGCCACTTACTAATTGTTTGATTCTGAGAAAGTCATGGATATCGGCTGGGTCTTAGCTGCTGCCTCTTTTAATTGGGAAAAACATCTTCTGCCCTGCCTATTTCATTGGGGTTACTATGAAATTAAATGTGTGAAAGCACTTTGTAAAATTTAAAATGCCATGAAAGGGTAGGTACTACCAAAATTTAAGAAAAGGTGGAAGACCAAGGTATCCTTAAGAATATCAATTATTTTAAGGTTCTATGCTATTGACATCTCACTGTCCATTAATAGGTTCTTAGCCCTTACACTCAGCAACAGATTTTTTTTAAGAAAACCTCTGTCTGCTTTTTAGTTTTCCACTCTCTTCCTTTGCTAGCAGCTATCAGTATTCCTTTAACCCAAATGTACCTCTTCTCATTTGCTGCTTCTCACACACTATTGGGTAGGAAACTTACTATAATTGTGCATAAATTTTAGCTGATTCAGAGGTCAGAGAGGCTCTCCTATAAATAGACTGATGAACCTTTGTGCACAGACTATGGAAATCTAGTTCAGTCATTTAGAGCTCTGCTTGCTTACATCTCAGATGTCTTCTGGAGCACTGAAGCTACAGCATAAGTGGGCTCCACACGTGACTTGCTGCTATATAAAAACTTCATCATAATTTCTCCCAACACAACAAACTAATAAGGTGATCCCTGACAGTTCTGGTTATATAGAACAGTCACAATTAGCAACTCTACTAAGAATACAAATATGAGCATTTTAAAGGGGGTTTTCTTTGGCTAAACAGCATTGACCAACAGAAATAAATACTCTGCAACTATTTCGGTGATTTTTGCATCCTAGGACAAATAAAGACCACTGATCTCAGCTATAACTAGAAGTAAATCCTGACTTACCTCACAACCATGATGCAAGTAGTAACACACACACAAAAGAACAATTTTTAAAAATACAAAGTCCCACAGCCAAGAAATATTTTTAATCAGGTCTCCTAGTTTGCACCAAAAGCTGAAATTGGCCAAAGCATTAAGCAGCAAACAAGATAGGTAAAATAATGTTTGCTTTTTTTTAAAAAATTGTGCATAGCACATAATTTTAAGAAGGAACTACATTTGAAAGTGTTTCCTCCAATCAAAAACACTGAGAATACTTACTTCTATACTCACCAGACTGTGACGGCTCATAATTGTCGTACTATTCCTCCGAGCTCTAAATGTGTAAGGCTGAAAAACCTGTGAAAAGTCACTAAAAATAAAAATAAACTTATTAATGGACTCTCATTTAAGATATCTTTCCATTGCATTAATGCCAATTCTCTAGTTAACAATGAAATTTTCGATGGCTTCCCATTTGGTATAATGAATAAACTCCTCACCGTCCTCTTCAGAGCTTTCTGAGTGGTGTGCTGTGGATTACAGGTTGGTGGAGATACTGATCTCCTCAGTGATTGGGAGGCAGCTAGGAGAGATATGGGGTGGAGCTCCAGACTGGTTGCTTCCAGCTTCTTCTGCTCAGAACTCACCGTCCCCCCAAACCAGTTACCACCAGATTCAAACCAGCAGCCTCATCTGCTTATCCAGAGGACCTACAATCAGTAACTGCTTTCTGTGTGTGCCATGATGTGACAAAGACTGGGGAGCCCTGTTCTGCAGTTGCCCAAACACATGTTTTACCTTTCAACCCCACTGTACAACTTAAATAAACCTGGAGTTTTGCTCATGTTGCCCCTTCTGACTCAAATGCCCTCCCTCCCACCACCATCTGTCAAAATCCTTCCTTTCCTTCAACATCCATCTCAAACACCATGTCCTACATGAAGACTCTTCATTCCACAAACATAATGAAATCTTTCCCTCTTCCCCAAAGAGCACAATGGGGAATTAGATGTCTCCTGAGACACAAACTTTTTTTTATGAATGAAAACTCTGCATGTGTCTTAAACCCCTTGATGGAGGTGTTTTGTTTATCTTTTTACAATATCTTGCAGTGCCCAGTAGAGTGCCATGCACATGTTAGGAGGTCAAGAAGGATTTTCAGGATTGGGGATATGAATATCACTTAATCCAGCTCTCCTACATTTTAAGTGAGAGAACAGAGACTCAGAAAGGTTAAGTGACTCATTAATAGTCATAGCCATTCAGGGAGAAAATTGGAACTAGGCCTGGTCTCCTCACCCTTCTTCTGTCATCATTCTACCTTTCAAGTAATTACTCAAATCATGATTCAAAAAACAGTAAGTTATTTCTACAGTAGATTAAATTCAGGTCAACAGGATTACCCTAGTCCCTAGCAATTGCTTGCCTACCAGTTTTTAAAAGATAATAAAAACGTCTAGTTTATTCCTTTAGTATTAAAAATAAGTGTAGAACTGAGGAAAGATTTTGGGCGGAGTAAATCCATAATTTGCAGTTTCAAAAATTTAATAAAATAAGAAGCCCATTTTTACCCAAAATGAGGATATTATAATCAGTTTGATAAACATTAATGTTTTCCTTCCCTGTGCTTGATTAATGTTTTTGGCTAACTACTCCAATCCCTTTTTTGGACTAATTCCATTTCTATGAGGCCTTGCAAATTGGGTCTCTACCTAAGATGAATTGTCTACTTATAAAAGTGAAATGTAATACGTTCAGGAGGTCTGCCAGCCTAACCTTCACTATCACAAGATTCTACCTTAAAATAGGTCTTCTGATGATTTTTTCACATGAACACCAGACTCTACCACTGAAATTCAAGGGTGGATTCTTTCCACTGTTTTTCTAAAACCTGTGTTTTCATTAATATAAGCGACATGCTACACTTATTTTTTATTCACTGGAATGCATTTCAGGCAGTTTTAGGATCTGAAATCATTATAACAAACCCAAATCACTTAATATGACATGAACATGGCATTTAATTACAAGTTATTAGATAAACTGTGACTTATAAAAGTAAACCACTGTTTATACCAGGATTCCTAAACTAGGCTTAGAAATACCAGCTCTTAGAGACAGGTGTCAAATTGCAAGTCTAGTTCCAGGGGCTTCAGTCTGACATTCAGTGGTGTAAATTAGGCAAGGCAGGCAACCTGTTAGAAGTGCTACACACTTCTTCATTTTTTTTTTTGATGCTTGTTGAAAAAAGAATTTTCTGTTTATTAATTATTTTATCCCACTTTACATAATTACTCTGATTAATTACTCTTTGAACTACTGTTTTTCCTTATTACTACATCTTGGTTCACAACTTTTTATTAAATTAATTTGCATAGATACTGATTTATCTATATCTATACACACACCATGTATTACATGGTATATAACAAATACCATGTATTACACAGACACTTCTTGTAGTTCGTTTTAGAATGAGGTAACAGAGTGTCAGGTAGAGATGGTCCCATTGTCCCCACACTGCCCAGAGTTTGAGGTCAAACTTTCACTCCACTATGGAACCCCAGTCACTATCAAGCAAACAAGTCATCACCCCCTAAGTTTGGAGAGCTCAAAGGAGCTCCAACTCTTACTTTATGGAAGTAAGAGTGCTTGCAGGGGCTCAGAGAGTCCCTGAACCCTGTAGTCCATCCGCCCCAACACTGCTCACCTAAGCCCATGGATCAAGGGAGCGCTGCTGGATCTCCTCAGGCCGCCCACATCAGATATGTCAGGCTCAAAGTCCAGCTCCATTTTCTCCTGAGCCATGTCTGGATACTTGTAGGCAGGCACAGCAGTCAGTGCTTAGCTCCTGATGCTTAGCTATGGACTTCCAACATTCTCACCGCAGGACTGAGCGGCTGGGGACTAGCAGCTCGGGGCGGGGGCTAAGGGGCGGAGGCGGGGGGCTAAGGGGCGGAGGCGGGGGGCTAAGGGGCGGGGGCAGAGAAATAAGCAGGAGAGGAGCAAGAGGGAAAAAGGATGAGGATGAGGAGGGATAATAGTGAGGAACAGGAGGAGAATGGAGAGGTTGTAATGGAGGGTGACAGAATAAAGGAAGAGGGTGGAAAAGAGGGATAAAAGGACAGAAAAAATAGGAGGGAGGGGGAAGGATAGATGAAAAACAGTGTAAAAGGCAGAAGACAAAATAGGGACTCGAAAGATAGGGGGAAAGGAGGGCAGGGTAGGGAGGGTAAAGAGAAGCAGGGGGGAGGAAAAGAAGGATGATATATGGGGGAGAGGAAAAGGGGAGAAAAGAAAGGGGAGGAAACTAGGCAGAGGCAGAACTCATGCTAATCTTCTGGCCAACGACCTCAAGGGGAACTGGGCTACAAACACCGCAGCTGCCCGGGAAGTGATACCACTGAGGAGTTGACAGTCGGGCAGGGCCCTACCGGGCGGCCTCTGCGGCTCCGGCTCCAGCTCCCCATGCTTAGGGACCGGATGCAGTCCCCCATGCTCCGGAATACGGTCCCAGAGGCTCCTCAGCCCTGTGATGGATGCTTCTCCCCTCCCCGCCCCCCTCTCGCCTGGAGGACAAGTGAGGGGGGATTCAGGCCCTCTCTGCCGCAGCCGCTGCAGTGCCTACAGCTTCTCTCTTGGTTTCTAATGGCCCAGGGGAACCCCTTGGGGCCAAGACCAAAATCTACAACCTGCTGTTTCTTATTCTTCCCATGCTTCAGAACCAGGAACCTCTGCGGGGCCCGGTCTTCCGTGTTTGGGGCACCCAACAGGTCCTGCGCACGCGCCAGGCGACTGTGTCAATGGTCCCGCCAACACAGAGCATGCGTGGGAGCCCTGCCCCGCAAACTTCCTCCAAAGAGGAGGAGCATTTCCTGGGCGCCCTGATGCTTTCCCTGATAGCATTCGTCCGGGGACACTGGCGCCCGATTTTGAATGCAATAAATAGCTTAGAGACACTAGAGCATCATCTTTCAAGAGGAGATTGAGCCAATATTCAAGGGAAACATAAACATGCCACTTCCATGTCATAAATTGGGAATGACATGACTTCTATGATCCTCGCTTATTTTTTAAACCCTTCAGTTTTGTTGGTCCTGGTCAGGAGGGGCTGATATCTTTTTCAGATGATCTATTTGGATATACTAAAGGGAAGTGAAAAAACAAAGGCAATGGTGTAAAAACAAAGAATCGAATGAGCGTTCATTATGAGGAGCACTCATTCCCATTTTATAAGTACCGTTAGCTTCACAGACTTTAGGAAAAGTCGTGAAGAGCAAGTAGCAGAAGTGTTTTTCTTACTAGGATTCATGGAAATCCTAACAATCATGATTCCGCACATGTGCGACCTGGAATTATTTATTTTACTTAACAAAGCTCTACATAGCAGTTACTGTGTACTAGGCACTATTTTAGTTACTTAGAAATATTAAATTATTTAATTCTCACCACTTGGACAACCCTGAAAGAAAGATGGTCATTGCATTACATTAATCATATGTATCTAGAAAGTACAGAAAATTTAACAGCTATGAAGTTGGTTTCAAAATTTAGCAAAATTAGTTTTTCCTGCCCCTTAATTCACTTGTTTCATATTAAACTTTACAAGCCTGGTCATCATTTTATTCCTCAATGTTTATGTTTTCTAATATGAGAGTTTTCAAAAGCACTTTTGGAAAGTTTTCTTTAAATTGTCTATATTTTCCTGCCATCTGGATTAGAAATGCAAACTGTTTTTGACCAATTTATGTATCTCTTTATCTCAAGGTCTTGGCAACTCTCCCAACCAATCCAACCAAAAAAACTGTAGTACATTCTACTGTTCACAATAACAACTAAACAATCATTTTTTGACCACATGCACAGTCTCTAATTCTGAGGAGTCAAACAATGTAGTAGAATCCCTCACTTTCAGGAGCTTAACAATTAGGAGGAACTCAAGGATTCATAAGCCCTGCCTGGATAGCTCAGTTGGTTAGAGCATCATCCTGATACACCAAGTTTGCAGGTTCAAACCCAGATCAGAACACATACAAGAGTCAACCAATGAATGCATAAATAAGTGGAACAACAAATCAATGTTTCTCTCTCTAAATCAATAAATTAAAAAATCAATTAGAAAAAAGTTATATAAGAAGATGGATGCCACCTTGCCCATCATTTCCAGGTTTTATGCACATTACACTTGCTTACTTAGTTTCTTTTATTCTTCATGTAAACTTTTGGCAGTTTTGGGGGTGTTTGTGATTTCTGGGCTGGGGGCCTACTTGCTCTTGTGAGTTAACATGTTGCTTAAAAGTTGCCATGGCAACTGGTAAAATAAAGAGCTAATTATAACATGTTTATGGAACACCTCTTATAAGTAAGAGGTTTGGGGCAGATGGCAGCAGACTGGGGCATAAAGAGAAGAACAGCATAAGTGTCAAGGTACATCTAAACAAACCAGTGATCTGAGATCACGTCATATTACTATGGAACAGCAACAGCTGATCATGAAACACAGCTAGGTTGGTATAATGTGTGAATAGAAATGGGAAATAATAAACATAATTTCTTTAAATGCTGTGTTCGCCACTACAGTATACAGAATTTTGTTTTTCTAGTACGTGTTCCTTTTGACATTCCAACTTGTGTATCTATTATGAGTCCTGTCTATATCTTTACAGGTTTGGGCTTCCTACAAACTGCACTTTAGTTAAAGAGAATTCCTGTTCTTTGGTAATAGGTAGAAACTTATTGCCACCTCATGTATGTAGTCATTTCAAATTACTACCTCTTTTAGAGAAACAGTCTCTTAGTTGCTCTTTCCTTGTTTTATTATACCTGCTCTCTTAGTGTTATGGTACTTAGATTTTCTAAAATTAGATATCTGTAATGTTTAGGCATGGTGAGATTTTCTTTATTCATTCAAAATATATCCATTAAACCTTATTACCTGCCAAGAATATTAACAAACTCTTTTAAAAGTATAATGAGCAACAGAGTGGAGGTAAGATCCTGTTCTCTGGTATAATTCATATTTTCCTGCTGTTTAGACAGTTTTTGACCCTCTGTTCTGTATTTAGCTACTGCCTCCTGCATGCACCTTGACTTTACTCACATCTAGCTGTCATCTCTCATAAACTTTCCAAGTATTCTGGAAACTTTAACACTGGCTCTCAGGAAACCTTGGTACTAGCTGAGATTCTACTAATACTTAATTATATAACGTTATTCTCTCTGGAATTTTATCAACTGTAAAATAAAAATTATTTTCTTACTTTACAAGATAGCTGTAAAGGACAGATTATTTAAACCTGCATTTATTCATGAAACAATTTAATAAGTAGTTATCAAGTGCTTATGAGTACAGAAACAGTGTCCAGATAAATACACAGGGGCACCTTGTCCGTTTTTCCATTTAAAGAGAAGGGCAGAGGAATCTGGGCTTTGCCACTTAGTAGTTGCAATTTGAGTGGCCCCTCTTGGCTTTGGTTTCCTCCTTTGAAAAATGGGTACTGTGGTGGTACCTACCTCAGAGTTTATTGTAAGCATTAAATGCAATCACATATTTAAAGTGTTTTGGACAGAGGGTACCTGGCACAGAGTAAGTGCTCAAAAATTTTAGCTATTGTTAACCTGTCTTACATAAGGACAATGGCTCCAAATTGTCCTAATGTCTGGGATTTAGGTAACTAGTCCCACCTAATATAATTAAGCCCTTTTTATTCTGTTCTCAGAATGAATAAAGAATGATTATGATCTTTCATGTCATAACTTGTCTTAAACTGTTTCAAGATAATCCCATTATTTTAAGTTCACCACTGATTAGTTGAGCAGTGTTAAGGATTGAACCAAATGAGACAAGTATGTGAAATCATTTTTTAAACTGTAAAGTGCTATATCATGTTATGACTATTTCAATTAATAACTATGTCACTAGTTGCACTTGTCTTCTCTGCCCGTTTTCTAAATGATGCCTAAAATTTGTGGTTTTACAAAATTATTAACATGGAGTTAAGATTTCAGTACTCAAAACTCTAAAAGAGCAGTTCTTAAAATGTTGTGAACGATGACAGCATCATTAAATGGAAACATTGATTTGGATGAATACTGAATTCTGAGATATTTAAGAAAATAAGCCTCCCTACTTTAACTCGAATCTTTTTCTTAGATGAATAGTTTTAAAGAGTTAGATTTTATTCCGTATAAAAATAAACACTTTATGAATATGGTAAAAAAATAACGAAACTACACACAAAACAATGTTTTGTCTGCGCAATTGATTCATTTCGGTTAGCGACTTACCAAGACCCTTTGGGAGCATGTGGCCTCTAAGCACTTAGGAGTGGTTTAGGTTCCCCGCCCCGACCAGGCTTCAGCTGTTTAAAGTTACAAAGATGTAGTGTGTCTGCTGAAACAAGATGGAAACATTCGTCACGGGATTTAACAGGCTTGTGAGCCTCAGTCATAAGGGGTTGATGTGTTAACCAAAACTGAGAAAATTGTTAACGAAACCATTCCAGGGTTAACAGAGGAGCAAAGGAACGACCATGCTAAATCTGTGTAAGAAAGAGAACAGAAGACCGAGCTTCGCTAAATAAATACATGTGAATGGAAGCAGGGAAGGAGGGAAGGAGGGAGGATGAATATAAATATTTAAAAGGCGGCAACTCCCTGAGTGCTCCTGCGCCCACGCCCCTGGCCAAACTGCCAAAGGTGCCAATTATAATGCTCATTGCTTGCATAGTAAGCAAACGCCGATGGGCGGGACACTGAGCACGTGCGCAAAAGGGCGGCGCCCAACTGACGCACCAACGTAGCAGGTTGTGGTCTTTGCTTTAGCCCAAAAGGCTTACCTGGTTTTCCCTTGATTGAGAGAAATACAAAAGAAGGAATTGCGGCCGTGATTAAGAGAAATTCCTCATTTTCATTATAGGCTTGGAAGTGGAA